TCTTCCAACGTTATAAATACAAGTTACGCCTGCACGAAACCACTAATTCAGCAACAAATGATTCTACCCCTACACAAATTCAGATAATGTGAAATTCAAAATGAGTATTTATTTGCAAGTATCAATTCGAAAATTCAGGGACCGGCGGCGGAAATAGTCTTTAACTCAGGCGCAAGTAGTTGGCCTGAAATAAAAAATGCATTGTTAACCAGTTACTCAGACGAGAGGGACATTTACACCCTAGTCCTTGAACTTTCGGAATTAAAATAAACTAACGAGAGTCCGTTTCAGTTTCTTGAAAAGATTCAAAAACTTTTAAGTTTACAAATTAGTTATCTCAATAATGTAATGTCGGACGATGCTGACACTCTGGGTGAGTTCTGTAGGAAATTAGGTTTAAGGTTTTTATTAAAGGGATTAAGAGGACCCATGAGTTCTCTTTTGCAAGCTAGGAACCCCTCAAATCTTAATGAAACGCTCAATATGCTTAATGATTTTGAGCACCAATCCACTCAAGGATCCAAAAGGTAAGGAACCCAAAAGCGTATACACCTAGACCGTTCAGATATCCACAACATCCACCATTTTCGCCACCACAAAAACATTACCCTCGACAAAATTTTGTATACCCTAACGAAAGGAACTACCAAAAAGGAAACCCAACACCGATGAGTATTTCCACAACACATTCGCGGTCCACACCACACATTTCAAAAAACTCACATCTGCACCAAATAACAACGAATGAGGAGCAAAATAGATCCCCTAAATCAAACTCAATTCTCCAAAATTCTTACTCGCAAAATGAAAATTCGACCCTGGAAAATCAGTCAAACACACGGCATTTTTAGGAGTAAATCCCGAAGGGAAAGGATTAACATAATGAACCTGTCCGATTCGAACAATCGGCTGCCGTATTTCATTGATCCATTGACGAAATCAAAAATTTTAATAGATACGGGTAGTACCAGATCGTTCATCTATCATAAATTTGCTAGAGATAATTTTAATACTCCCTTAATAAAAAACCCATTCGAAGTAAAAACAGTTCATGGAATTAGTAAAGGCAGCCACAGCATTAAACTTAATACGGATACTTTTAAAGGAAAATTCTTGACATTAGAATTATTCTTATTCAACATCCACAATAAATTCGACATGCTGTTCGGGCTAGATAGTATGAAAATATTAAATTAGATTCTAATAATAACGAAATAACAGTAGCGAATAAAAATTATCGCGTACAGTACTACGAAACTGATAAGGAAAGACGAGCGGAGGAAGATTTAACATCTGTTGACTCGTCGAAGATAAATCCAACGCACATCTTCACATTAGAGGCGCGCTCAGAAAGTATTATTGAAATAAAAGTCGATAATATTAGCGACGGCGAGGCCGTCCTACCTAGTCAATCTTTACTGGGAACAAATATTCCCGATTGCTTAATTAAGGTGAAAAATCATGAAGCGTTGTGCCCTATCGTCAACGAAAATCATGAACGAGTTATCGTAGAAATAAAAAGACCATTGATTGTAGAAAACGTAAACGATTACGAGGTGGTGCCCTTCGAAAAATTTGGAAGGAATACAGCCCGATAAAGACATCAATTTCTACTTAACTGGCCTCGATATAAATGATAATGCGGTTATTAGAACCGATCATATGAATGATGAAGAAAAGAAAACAATACAACATTTAATAAAACATTACCCCGAAAAAATAAAGCACATAATACGCACCAAAGACGAAATACCTACGTACACGAGATCCAATAAGTATCCGCAAATTTACAGACAAGAAGTTCAAAATCAAATTCAGGACATGCTTGAACAAAAAATCATTCAGCCCTCGTTTTCACCATGGAACTCTCCCATATGGATAGTTCCTAAAAAACTCGACACAACCGGAAAAAGGAAATTTAAGCTCGTCATTGATTATAGGAAACTTAACTAGAAAACTATTGACGATAAGTTTCCAATACCCAACATTAGTGACTTACTGGACAAGTTGGGGAAGTACCAATCGACTTGGTCTCCGGTTTTCATCAAATTGAACTCGACGAATGCAGTGCCCCAAAAACCGCCTTTAGTACGGAGGATGGTCATTTTGAATTTCGAAGACTTCCGTTTGGTTTAAAAAATTTCAAAGGGTCATGAACGAAGTGCTAAGGGGGACCAAAAATGCTATGGTTTACCTAGACGACATCATAGTATTTAGCACTAGTTTGCACAAGAACACCTGCATGACCTAGAATTAGTGTTTCAACGGCTAAGAGAGGCGAATTTAAAAAAACAGCTGGATAAGACAGAGTTCCTTGTAACCGGGTAATTAAGTCGTGACCCGGAGTTGGTGTGGATGTTGTTGGCTCGCACACTTTGAAATTTGGCCGGAACTGGAGCGGGCGGAGAGGAAGCCACATCAGCACGGTCAGGATTCCACGAGTCGTTCTACGAGCGTGTTCGAAGATTTTTTGTCTACCGGACTATCGTTTCCTTTCTCAACATCTCGGAGAAGATATCGAGTGAGTGCTCACTTCAGACATTTTATTGTATGTTAAAGGCCTAAATGTTATGTATATAGTTTTAGTTTAGTTAGGATAAGTACCTTAACTTCATTTCGTTACGTGTAAATATGTTTAGTTAACCATCACGCTTTTATTTCTTTGTGTTTTCTTTTATTTTCTTTACTTAACAAATAATCAGGTCCATTGCGAACCCTCCCGTCTCACGCGGAGCTATCTCCTGGCCGCCAACATTTGTTCCCCCCCCCCCCCCGACAGTTAAAAGACTATCTGGCGCCCGTACAAAATTTTCTTTTGGTCTGGACAAACCAGACCGGGGGTTACATCCTGAAGAGAGAAGTCGCTTATCTTGGACATGTCGTAACAGCTGAGGGAGTGAAACCAAACATCGAAAAAATCAAAGCCATCCAAAATTATCCCTTACCTAAAACTATTAAAGAACTTAAGGGTTTCCGGTTAAGTAAGCCTAGGTTTACTCGGCTATTATAGAAAATTTATAAACAATTTTGCCGGGTTAACCAAACCCTTGACCAAACGGCTAAAGAAAAACTCGAAAATCGACCCGGAAAACGAAGAATAGAAAGAATGTTTTAATTTCATACACAGAACTTGTCGTAACCGACAATCACCTGCCTTGGATATCTGAGCTCAACCAGTATTTGGCTGTATTTCCTATTGAAGATTCAATTAGTATAAGCCGCCAGGATGGGACTGCAGTAAAACGACTGAAAGGAGTATTTCTACTGAACATCAACGGCAGTAAAGTGGACTACAAGAACAGACGATTGTACCACTCTTCCAAAACTTCTGGGCATCCGACAATTATTAGTAACGTTAAGCTCGGATTAAGCAGGAATCAACAGACAAAATTCTCAATTAACATTAAAAAATTGGGATTAGAGGAGCTGAAACTCAACCATGTTTCGCCAATCATCAAGACTTCCTACATTTCAACGTCTACGAGCATATGGACCGTGCCAGTCTACTGTTTATTGGTCATAACCTCCGCATATGGAGTCTTCGCAAAGTATCGCACGCGGGGACAACTCTTGGCCATTGCAACCACTACCAATCAGCCGCCCCCGGGAGCTTCATTTGGGGATGGAGGAGTTACGCCTACACGAAACCACTAATTCAGCAACAAATGATTCTACCCCTACTCAAATTCAGAGAATGTATTGTAAGCATAAAATGTAGATTGTGTTGTAAGACCCTTCTTCGTAAGATCCACTCGGGACTCCGAACAGTATAGACACTTTAAAATAGAATCCTTGTGTAAAGTTATAGTTTATTTTGAATAAACGTTATTTAAAAAAAAAAAGTTTCTTACTTCGAAACCATAACTTACATATAGCCCAAGTGGTTAGAGCAGCGGCTGTATTGAGCCGAAGGTCGTGGGTTCGAATCCCACTCGTGACACTAACTTTTCATCACAACCGAGACTTTAGACAAAAAGTATAATTAATTGAAATTATTATTATTTTGTTTGGTATTTTATTATACTGTTTCTCGTTAAACAGAAAATTATTATTATTATTATCAGTAGTGGTTTGTCGAAGAAATGTTTGACCATTTTTTTAGATTTCTGAAAAAGTAAAATGGCTGATAGTTTTGAAAAACGTACTTTCCCAAGTACAAAATGTGCTGCCAAAGTTTTTATATATACGGTTATTTATCTATGAGTAGTATTTTAAAAGAAATATTTGTCATTTTGATTTGGGTCAGATTACATAAAATGGCTGGAACAGTTAAAAATGGCAAATAATTGTCGAAAAAGTGCTGAAAAACATCTAAATAAGTTATTCATCACAAATTACTTATCCAAATATATGACCATTTATTTTTAAAATCAATTCGCTTGAATTTTAATTGGTGTTGATCCGCTGTCTCGAAAATTGTGTTTGACGATTGTAAGGAATAAAAGGGCTGACCCATAACTGGTCGAGTTAAGAAATTTACAGGATTTTTTGTTCTAGTATGAATTGACCAAATGCTAATAAAAGACTTTAGTGCATCCATAATCAAATGATAACTGAGCTGCTTTTTTTGGCAACCTTAATGTACATTAAAAAAACTCTACGCCAATGATTAAATAAGTAACTGTGGCTATCATTTTGACTTACACATTGTCTATATTTACGTTAAGCAAACTCCTCTCTTTATCTCCTTAATGAAAAAAATAAACTGTTGTAATTTTCGTTGAAATTACATAAGAAATGTTTGGCCATTTTGAAATGTCGTTACAAGAGTGACATTGCCAAGCAAACAAAATGGGTTTTGTTCTGCCAAAATAAACATTTTTTATTATTTATTTTAAACTAGTAAAATCACTAGAGTTTTAATAAAATACCAAACAGAGAGGGGAAAAGTTCGACCTTGGCAGCTGACAACTGAGATAGTGATGAATGTGCGTTTTACCACAAACTATTCCAGTGTTCCAATTCTTAATAGCTAATATATAAAAAAATATATTAAAAACCTGGCGTCAGCAGAGCGAGCGAAAATCGTGTATTGAATGGAACACTCACGTCGAGCTATATGGAAGAGTGACCTGCGCCAGAAAGTAGACGGACGGAGAGAATGACAGAACTTTTACTTATCTACAATGATGAGGGTCACCGAACGAGGCCGATCGGTAAGTGATAATCGTTAATTATACTCGAAGAAACACCGCCGGTCACACGACCGCACTTCGGGGAAGTTGAAACTCGCGAGAAATGTCACTCGTCTTCCGCTTTACACGATTTATTCGTGTTGGGTTTTAAACACCGCGACTTTTCACTATCGTCGTACGAACTGACAACAGTCCAACAAATGCACGGGCACTATTCCAATTCTTCCGAGTTCGAAGGATGAATATCCGTTGAAACCTTCACGTTGGTTATATCTGCCGTGTTTACTTTTGATAAAAATTTTGAATTTTTTTTTTAAATTTAGATCAATTTTCTTCTAATCATTTGCTAAAAATTTAAGTCGTACAACTTTGTGTTTTTATAGTTGAATACAGATTTTATGCCAGCCTTCGGCTAATTCATCTAGCTGCGCGAGCTTGATACTTTCGTTCCTGGCATTATAAAACTGTTATAAATAACACACACAGACATTCTAGTTTATTTTCATAAATTTCATTAATTTGGATTTCATAAATATTTTCCTTTTTAACTATCTTAAAATAAATAATAATTAAATAAACGAGTTGTAAAACCGCTTATCATTCGTGATAAGATAGCCGGATGGCGCTCCCGCGTTTTCGATCACCCCCGGAGGTACCAAAATCCAAGCTTCTCGTTCTTGTGCCGAATCGGACGCTACTTGAATTTTCCAGCTTTTTCCGAGTTTTATAACAACCGGCGAAATGAGCCAAAAGCGAGAAAACAGCTTTGGGGCTTCGGCCAGCAAAAAAGCCAGGTAAGAAGATTAAAAAAAAAGTGCTTACGCCAGGTTTGCCGTGCGGCTCTTCTAGACAACTGGGACAGCATCACTCTCACAGTTTGTCAATGATGATTATCACACTTTCCTTGTCACTGGCGGCCAACTGCAATATAAACATATTATTCACTTATTTGTTAATTTGAGACTACAGCTTTACTCGTAACTTATTAAAAAACTCTTTGTCACTACTCAGTGGAAAATTCACATATCGTTCAAGTTGTCTTCACAATTCCTACAGGGTGATATTTTGCACGACCACACCACAGGCTTACCATTTCATTGGTGGACCTGGCTGTCGTTTCATGATCATGCATCTGCCTCAATGATTGAGTCAAGACAAGATTTATTGCAGCTGTTGTTAATTTCATTATGATGATACACAAAACAAAAGTACAGTGTCACTTGCTCTCACTCTTGCTAAGTGTCATTACCTTTCTCCTCTTTTGTGAGATGACTTCTAGAGAGATTTTTATCATCTGACAGTCTGTGTATGTGCAGATACTATACTTGTGGTAATTTTACAGTGACTTTACACTATTTTAACATAATCTCGTAGCATTTTGCTAAGCTTTAATTTATTGGCTAAAGAGAAACAATGCTTGTGCTCAATATGATGGATTAAAGGGTGGGTGGAGGTCAAGGCGACTTCTTCATGATGGGAAAGTTCAGATAAGGCTTGTAATTATAGTTAGCACGGATTGAAAACTTGGCATGGAACTTTTGGAAGCGGATTTTTTCTGCTCACAGACAAAAGGAATGTTGAGTACATTGGGGATAGTATGATGTTCAGTAGACTCTCATTATCCGTGCTTTCACTCCTCTGCAGTTGCCCTCCTATTTGAGTTCTAGAGGAGAGGGGATGAGGAGAGAATGGGAATGTGGTGAATCACAGAAAATAACAGCGTAATTGAATTCTTATAGAGGAAAAAAAATTGAAATGTGTTCACAAATTTCTTACATAATTAATCTTTTTATGTAATGTTTTGGTTGAAATGAAAAAGTTAGTGTCACCAGCGGGATTCAAACCCACGACCTTCGGCTCAATATAATATGCCACTGCTCTAACCACTTGAGCTATCGTGGCTTTGATCCACTCGGGCACCAACTCCCCCCCCCCTACGGAGCCGAAGGTCGTGGGTTCGAATCCCACTAATTGAAAGAAGTAATTTGGTCAATAGACCCCTAAATATAATGGTTTCGTACATAATGTTGACGATAGGCAGACACGATACAAAATGTGTCTGATTGGTATGTAGATGGGAAAATAACTTTTAGCCTGAAATTAAAGATATTTCCTACTATCTGTGGTTCTTATTATAAGTAGTGATGTTTAGTACGTATCCCCTGTGGATAACAAGATTCTATTGTAGTACGACGCTTTGACAATTTCTCTGATGACTTTTAAAAGTTAGAATTGGATGCACTGGATATTAGCTTGGCAGAACCCCACAGTTCCACTCCACATGTTTAAAAATGATCGCAGTCATGGCTTGTAGTGTGTTGTTTAGGACCAGTAGTTCAATAAGTGGTTGAGGTAGCGAGGAGTGGTTGGATTGTGATGTATTTGTTTCGAATTATGTCTTTTTGATCATCTATTTTGGCAATTTTTGAATAGCGCAGTGTATATCAGCGATCAATTTAGCAGAAGGAAAATCTGATTATGTAGGGTATCGCAAATTTGGATCCTAGTGATAAGAGGTTTTGTATATCACAGGGAATATATTCTTTATGAGAACCAGAAAGATTTTTTTATAAATCATTTATTGTTGGATTATGTTATCATTCCTCACTACCTCATCTTGTATAGTGTTAGTTAAGTTTTCACAAGTTAGGTTTTCGGCTATAAAAGTTGTGTCAGGTGCATTGGTGACCGCAATGGTTAAGGCGTTAGCATGGCACTCATTGTTGTTAATAAAGGTCCAGGATTCAAATTAAGAGCTAACATACAAAAGGACTTTTTTTCCCAAAAAACACTGGCACCCTGGGGGTTGATATAACCCTGTAAAAAAAAGTCTCTTCAGTTTGTGTGAAGATGCCATGTCAGTCTGCCAGTATAGCAATGTAAATGTACACGTGTACATTTTACTTTTTGGAAAAGATAGCTCTACTCACAGAAGTTAACTTGAGTTGCCATTTTCACCCTATCTCAAATCATTTCTACTGTGTACATTTTCCTTCATTCAATCTTGTCCTCCTTTTGGCACAATTCTTGATAAAATCAAGGTATTCTTGGTTGTTGGAGGTTGCTTGGAAAGGATTTGGCTTATGAAGCGTGTCATGGTTGCGTAGGTGGTAATGATGGTGTTAGGATATATAGGAAGTCAGAGTATAAATTACATACTTGCATTACTTACTTTTTGGTCATTTTTGATTATTTTGGTCTAGCTACCCTTGCTGATAGGGTCTATCAGGCATGTTTTTGCTTTTTACTCTCTACATTGCTCTGAATCTGTGAACTGACCAAACCAGTGAGGATAGGCAGATCAAAATGATCAGAAACGATCAGACTAACGGTTCACTGTGCAGACCCTATCAATCACATCTTGTCTAAGGGTTTTTTCCTGGCTTTACTTAACACATTTGCCAAATGTTTGTTTTTGTGTGTAATCAATTCTATAATTAAAAATTGAGTGTGTTTTCACTTCATTACAACTTGTCATTGAGAACTTTAAATTTAAAGGATAAGTAATGATAATGGTGTAATGTTTAGTTTGGTGGAAATGAGCATTATTGATTCCATTGTAGAAAATTTATACAAGTCCAAATTACCTGATTCAAAAATTACACATCCTTTTGCCTTTCAGGCTACAACATGAAGAGGAGGAGGATGTCAGCTCTTTCGAGTACACTCTGTCTTGCTTAAGTGAATTGATGGATCCTAATTTAGAGGTAAATGATTCAAACCGATAGAAAAATATACATTATGACAATTTTTTACTGACAAGATCAGTTTGTTTATCAGTCTGGCCTGGACCTATTGCTGGTTGTAAGTTATAATTTAAAAGAGTGACAGTGTGCTTTTAATGAGGATGCATTCAATTATTCAATTGTATAGATGCAACAAAGCTTATGTTTTCAGGCTTAGTTTGATTTTAGCATTTTATTAACTAATATGTGATGTTTTTAAGTTATTTTTTTACTTAAATTTTTTCTTTTGTTTTTCTTAGCATTTTTATTTGCCTTCATTCTGTGGCATGCTATTTTATCTTTTGCAGTTGATATATTTGTCTTAGTTTTACATTATTTCACTTTTGTAGGGACCAAATTCAGAAAGTGCAAATCAAAAATGGAAGCGACCGGATCCTCCTGTTCTCAATCCAAACATAGACACCATCAGCTTCCAACAGTTGGAGATTGATCATTACAATGGTATCAAAAATCGAGGTTTAAAATTAGCAAACAAAAATTAACACTAACGTTTTTAGGGAAGCCAGTTCATGGGATGCCAGGCAGCCAGGTTGAGCCTGTGCCTGTGATGTGCATATACGGAGTGACGATGGAAGGAAACTCTGTGTGCTGTCATGTCCATGGTTTCACTCCGTACTTTTATGTCTATGCTCCTGAAGGTTTCGGTTCAGAGAATCTAGATGATTTTAGAAAAGCACTCAATGCTGCTGTGCTAAGTGACCTGCGCAGCAATAAAGAAAACATTTCTGAAGCAGTCGTCCTTGTAGAAATTACCAAGAAGCACAACATTTACGGCTATGATGGAGAAGATCTTAAGACGTTCCTGAAGATTTTTGTAGCGTTACCTCGTCTCATTGCTCCTGCCAAACGGTTGCTTGAAAAGTCCACCATTCTGCCTCAGTTCGATGGGCATTACTATAAAGCATTTGAATCAAATATTGATTTCGATATCAGGTAAATTTCAATGTAACCAATATCTTAAACCCAAAAATAAACTTAATTTCATTAGATTTATGGTGGACTGTAATATCACTGGTTGCAATTGGATTGAACTCCCACCGAATACTTGGACACAAAGAAAACCGGGTTCTCAGTTCCAGCCTGTTTCGCGCTGCCAAATTGAAGTTGATATTGCTTTTAACAAATTGGTATCTCATGAGCCGGAAGGTGAATGGGCGAAAGTAGCGCCATTCAGAATTTTAAGCTTTGACATAGAATGCGCAGGGCGCAGAGGTAAGAGCATAAATAACAGTTTCCTTTTTCATCAGTAAAAATATACCGGTTTCAGGAATATTTCCCGAGGCAAATATGGACCCAGTGATTCAGATTGCAAACATGGTCTTGCTACAGGGACAGCAGGAGCCTTTTATTCGCAACATTTTCACATTGAAGCAGTGTGCGCCTATCGTCGGAATCCAGGTCATCAGCTTTGATAGGGAACAAGAAATGCTCGAGGCAAGTTAGACAAAATCGCGTCAAGCCATGACGAATTTCTAATGTGACCTCGTTTATAGAAATGGGCAGAGTTTGTGCGTGAGGTGGATCCAGACTTGTTCACTGGCTACAATATCAACAATTTCGATTTCCCTTACCTCATCAACCGTGCAAACCACTTGAAATGCAAATATTTTACATTCTTGGGTCGAATGAGGGCCGTGAGGTAACTAGTTTTTAAGGGTTCCTTTCTTTCTCTCTTTTATAATTTTTTTTTTTAAATTGTTTTGTTAAAGGTCTGTTATCAAAGATCATGTGATTCAGAGCAAACAAATGGGTCGAAGGGAGAATAAATATGTTAATTTTGAAGGACGGACATCTTTTGATTTATTACTTGTAAGACACTAAGCTTTTTTTTTTTTTTTCAATTATTATTTATATTTGTTTTACAAAAAAAAAAAAAATAAAACTTTTTAAAGGTTTTATTACGTGACTATAAACTAAGATCTTACACATTGAATGCAGTGAGCTATCATTTCCTCCAAGAACAGAAAGAAGACGTTCATCACAGCATCATTACCGATTTACAAAACGGTTCTGATGTAACAAGAAGGAGGTACATTTAACCTACCCTAAATTTTTCTAATTCCTTGACAAAACGTTTTTTTTTCCAGGTTGGCCGTGTATTGCCTTAAAGATGCATACCTCCCGTTGAAGCTGTTGGGAAAGCTGATGTCTTTAATTAACTACATGGAAATGGCCCGTGTGACCGGTGTTACATTTTCGTCGCTTTTAACAAGGGGGCAGCAGATCAAAGTGATGTCCCAGCTGTTAAGAAAGGTGAGAGTTGTTTTGCAAATCACCAGTGGGAGAGGCTAAATTTTGTTCCTCAGTCTAAAGAGGCTGGATACCTGTTACCAACAATGTCAGTCGGTGAAGCGTCAGATCAATTTGAGGGCGCTACTGTGATAGAACCCCTGAAAGGCTATTACAACGAACCGATAGCAACTCTCGATTTTAGCTCGCTGTACCCTAGCATCATGATGGCACACAATCTTTGTTACACGACTCTTTTAGCTCCTGGCAAAAAGGATAAACTTGGGTAAATACTGTATTTATTTTACTATGTTTAGTGTGTATGTATATTTTTTAAACATTTTTTTGAAGCTTATCACAAGAACAGTATTCAGAAACTCCGTGTAACAACTACTTTGTAAAGAGCACAGTACGCAAAGGCCTTCTTCCACAGATTTTAGAGAGCTTGTTGACAGCGAGGAAAAAAGCAAAGAATGACCTTAAGAATGAGACTGATCCTTTCAAAAAGAAAGTCCTTGACGGTCGTCAACTTGCTCTGAAAATCAGTGCAAATTCTGTTTATGGTTTTACTGGAGCACAAGTTGGTAAACTTCCTTGTTTAGAAATATCTAGTGTAAGTACATTCCATTTACTTTTTTGTATACATTTGTTTAAAAAAAAAATGTTAGTGATAAAATAAAATTTGTAGAGTGTCACTGCTTATGGTAGAATGATGATAGAGAGAACAAAGACCGAAGTCGAACAAAGATATTGCATCAGCAACGGATTTCATCATAATGCCATTGTTGTCTATGGTGATACAGATTCTGTGATGGTCAAATTTGGTGTTCCAAGTTTAGAAGAAACTATGAAGCTTGGCAGAGAAGCAGCTGAATATGTCACGTCTAAATTCATCGCTCCTATTAAACTGGAATTTGAAAAGGTGATTTCTCATAACCTTACTTGATTTGAATATGTTAAAGTTTCATTATTTTCCAGGTGTATTTTCCCTACTTATTAATAAACAAAAAACGTTATGCCGGTCTTTATTTTACGAACACAGAGACATATGATAAAATGGATTGCAAAGGGTTGGAGACAGTGCGACGAGACAATTGCCCACTTGTCGCCAACATGATGAACACGTGTCTTCAAAAACTCCTCATAGACAGGTAAGTCTACATTTAGTTCGAGACAGATCATAAATTTAAAATTAATTAGAGACCCAGACGGAGCGGTGAATTATGCAAAACAGCAGATCAGTGACCTCCTCTGCAACAAACTTGACATCTCACAGCTCGTCATTACAAAAGAGCTGGCGAAGACTGACTATGCCGCCAAACAAGCCCATGTTGAGTTGGCGAACAAAATGAAGAAAAGGGACGCCGGGTCAGCGCCCAAACTTGGAGACAGAGTCCCTTATGTGATCATAGCTGCTGCTAAAGCCACCCCAGCATACTTGAAAGCAGAGGTTTGTCATCTTCAAAATTGACTTTTCTTAAACTGCAAAAAATTCAAACTTTAATTCACAGGATCCTATCTATGTTCTTGAAAACAACATACCGATTGACTCAAACTACTACTTGGAGAATCAGCTTTCAAAACCGCTTTTGAGGATATTTACCCCAATACTTGGTGATAAAGCTGAATCTGTACTTTTAAGTAAGGATTTTTTTTAGTATTTATTATAACAATTTAAACAAAACTTAATGATTTTTGTTTCTGAAGGGGGTGACCATACAAGGGTGAAAACGGTTGTTACATCCAAAGTAAGCGCTTTGGCTAAGTTCACAAGCAAGAAGGTGACCTGCCTGGGCTGCAAATCAGTGCTGCCTCCTGGACAACAAGAAAATCCACTTTGCAATTACTGCGCGCCAAAACAGGCTCAGCTGCTTTGCAGCGAGTTAAACAAGTACGTTCTCTGATATAATATTTAGCATAGAAACATAATTATATAACATGCCATTGTTTAATTAATATCTCCATTTGCATTGGTTATTAAAGTTTAATTACTTTAAATATTAATTACTTTTTTTAAACATGAATTCAAGTTCAAAAATAGAAATGTAATTATGATGTTAATATTTTTGTCCTAGGTACAGAGATCTTGAAGAAAGATTTAACCGTTTATGGACACAATGTCAACGATGTCAGGAGAGTTTACACGAGGAAGTCATTTGCACCAAGTAAGTCTAACAGTGACACACTTTATATTCTGATTTCCCGCTTTTAATAAATAGCCAGCATGTAATGCATAAAATATTGCCAAAATTAATCGATTGCCATCTTGCAAATAAAACAAAAGTACTGAAGGCCAAGATCTAACAAGGGGACGACCAGGTTGGTGTGTCAAGGATTTGTACCAAACTTTTTTTAGTGATTATACACTACAAATAAAATATTGGCCATGTATCCGCCACTTCTCGTGAATAGGTCCTGGTTTCACAAAAAAAAGGAAAGTTGAATTTGTTTTAAATATATATTTTTATTTCGCCTTCTACGTACACAAATCAACTGTGAATGTACCATTTTACAGCGTCATTTATGTAGATTAAAAATATAGCAAAAGCTATCGAAATCTGAATTATAAAGATTTCATAAGCTTTTCCAACTTTTTATCTTTGAACAGGATATGAAGTCTTTCTAATCTAGATTCTCATCCATATTCAATAAAAAGAAAAGCATATCTAAAAAACTATCAACGTTTATCCATAACCAAAAAATTTCTAAAAACCAAATATTTTTCAAGTAAACTAGGTCATAATTTTTTTTTATGAAGCTAATATGAAATTTCGTTTAGACCCCTAAATATAAAATTTTGTTCGAATTTAAATTTATCTTCTCGTGTAGAAATGTGTGGGATTAGTGACCATTAGTTGAAGATTATTCAGAAATCGTGAGATGTGGTCTGGTGTGATGTAGGTTTCAGAAAAACATTTTCTTTATCGTGCCAACGTTTCGATCTTTATTGAGATCATCTTCAGGGCCTGGGATTTACAAACATTGTTTAAATTTAACAAATACATGTAGGATGTGGAAAAAAGCAAAATCCTACAGCACTCGCTACCCACCATTTTGGACACAAATACAACTTCGACTTCAGCAATCCAAAAATATTACACACAGAACAAAACAAACATAAATGTAACTTTGTAGAAATGGTTTACATCAACAGAGATAAACACAGTATCCATTACAGAACAGATACATGTAAACTCAGTTGCAGCTACGCCAATATCATTAATCAAATTCAATATAGATAACATACCTATATCATCCCATAACATTCCACACATGAGATATTTTTCACATAGTCTAATTTCCCAACAATTCAGCTTTCCTTTTCCTATTTATCCCTTTCTATATAATCCTGAAAGGATAATCTGGCTGAACCTTTACCAATGTTTTTCCCTTCGTCGGCTCCTTTCACCTTAAAGAAGCCGACGCCTTATACAAAAATGTCTTTTCTATACCGACTTTCTTCCCCACCCCTTCAAAATCCAATGTATATAAACATGAACCAGCAATATCTCACTGGCACCGTCAACACGACACGCAAGAATGGCACAATTACACAGAAAACAAACACTTTGTGTGATTACAAATACTTTGATTGAATATAAAAAATATATTTTGCATTGTATCAATTCACTTTTCTCCACATCCTACATGTATTTGTTAAATTTAAACAATACTAGTAAATCCCAGGCCTTGAAGATGATCTCAATAAAGATCGAAACGTTGGCACGATAAAGAAAATGTTTTTCTGAAACCTACATCACACCAGACCGCATTTCACAATTTCTGAATAATCTTTAAATTTATCGATTTTTTGACCCCAAAATTTTTTCCGTTTTTCAGAAGTTATTCGTGGAATAACTGATTGAAACGACTATAATTCAGAAACAGCTAAAAGGATTTTAATGCCAAACATACCATTTGAAAGAAGAGAAACGTTGCTGTCTAATCCACATATATAAAAGATTTTTATTAGTAACAGAAAATATTTTTCAGATAGCAAGAAAATATTTTTGCCAGAAATTAAACTCGTTTTTTTAAATGGAAATTATAGTCTGATTTTAAGGTTTGATACAGTTGTAAAATGCACTAGACAATTTCTTTAAAACGAATTATTAACCATGAAAATCGGTCTCTTAGACATTGAGAAAATTATGGAAGAGCTGGAGAAGTCGTCATAATTATTAGTGAAAAATTAATTTTCACTGATTTCCATGAAAGTCGGTACCTAACAGTTTTATAATACTACAATCACTATAATGAGGTCAAATCCCAGTTTTGACCATATTCTGACCTATTGGGTTGTCCGGAAAATAATGCAGGATTTTGGTATTAAACAAAAAAAAAGAAACTAGTTACTTTAAAGCAATGTTCTTTAATCAAAATAATTTCCCATACTCTCAATACATTTCTCCCAACGTGTTGGTAACTTATTAATTCCGTCTGAGTAGAATTCAGAATTTTTAGAATTGATAAAGTCAATAAATGCATTTTCCAGTTCCGTTCGATTTTTGAATATTATGTGTTGTAAGTAGTGGTCCAGGTGTCTAAAAAAATGGTAGTCAGTAGGCGAGAGGTCCGGAGAGTAGGGTGGGTGAGGCAAAGTTTCATAGCCAAGCTCCAATAATTTTTGTGACGTTACACGTGACACATGTGGTCGAGCGTTGTCATGCAACAAAATGGGCCCTTTCCGATTGACCAAAGAGGGCTTCATTACTGCCAATTTCTGATGCATGGTATTAATTTGGTTACAGTATGATTCAGCATTGATGGTTTCGCCAGGATTTAAGAAGCTGTAGTGTATTAAACCAAATGAAGCCCACCATACCGTAACCATTACCTTTTTTTGATGAGTTGGGGGCTTTGGAGCTTCTCCTTTGTCGAGCCACTGTCCAGAACGTCTAGTGTTATCGTAGAGAATCCACTTTTCGTCACATGTAACAATTCTGGCCAGAAATGGGTCATTTTTGTTTCGACAAAGAAGTGATGCACAAACATCAAAGCGCTGATTTTTTGGCGATCGTTTAATGAGTGTGGAACCCAATTTTCGAGTTTTTTCACTTTTCCAATCGCCTTGAGGTGGTCAGCGACGGTCGTTTTACTGACTTTGAGTTGCTCTGCAAGTTCTCGAACAGTTGTTTTGGGGTTTTCTTCCACCACTGATCGCAGAACATCATCATTAAGAGAGGAAGGCCTTCCACGACCTTCTTCATCTTCAAGGCTGAAATCTCCCTCCCGAAATTTTTTAAACCACCTTTGCACAGTGCACTCATTAACACAACCCTCGCCCCAGACTTGGTTAATGTTTCTAGCCGTTTGGGCTCCGCTTCGGCCGAGTTTAAACTCGTAAAAGAAAATCGTACGAAATTCTCGCTTTGACATTATAAGGATGACTGAATTATTTCCAAGTAGCGGAATGCTACAGAGGTAAACAAACAATATCATTTGGAAGAGGATTAATAAGTGTTGACATTCATACAAATGAGTAATCCTGTAAACGTAAACAGAATATTTTATATAGATTTTTTTTAATGAAAACTTAAAATCCTGCATTATTTTCCGGACAACCCGATACTTTGCTTATAGAATGTTTATTAAAATATGGAAATGTAGGTATACTGATTTGGTATAGTTTGGTGAACTGATACCAAATGAGAATATTTTGCATCATAGACATTTTTGTTTTTATCTTAACCAACAATGAAATTAATAGACAAAAATATTTTTGAATCCTTAAATACAATTTATGATCAGACTGAGTTTTCTTCTTTGGCAAGAAAGTGGGTATGTAAGGGTTTTATAATGCTAAAATCACTACATTGAGGTCAAATCCAAGTTTTTCCCATTTTCTGAAGAATTGCGTTGTATATTTTTTCACTGTTGGATATATGTAATATTATTACTTATTACGATATTAATCAATGTGAAAGTAACTTCTGGCCTTTGCCTGCTAACAAATATAAGGAGTTTTCATTGCCAAGTGAGAATAAGTAATTTCATAAATACTCCCACTTTTGCAGCATCAATGTGTTCATTATAAGTAGTCTTAAGGAAATTTTTAGTAAATTGACTTAATCGGGTCAGTGGAACAAAACCCTAGTCTCTCAGGGAGGAGAATGTTCAAGAGCTGAAGAGTACACTTGATGTATCGAAGCATTAAAAAAAAAAGTATTAAAAAAACATATATGTATTAAAAAAAAGCTACGAATAATTTCAAGTAAATATAAAAAATATTCCTTACCATGTATGTTGTTAAACTTAAGGCAATTAATGTAAATACACATAAATTTTACGAGGGGTTTAAAAATAATTTTTTAAATGATTTAGAAACAGAAAATTAAGTAACATTAAATGGAAAGAAGTGTTTATTCAATAATTATTAGATGTTTTACGTACCTACTTAGCATAGGCTAAACCCGTATAACGTGTGTGTCATGCCGAACTGTTGATACGTTTTTTGTTTTTAAATTATTTTATTTGTACCCTTCCTTACTAGACCTTTATGTGATCACAAACTGTTTCACACGATCACAGAAACATGCATGCAATTTTTTTAACAATACCCTTGCTTTCCCCGAAGAAATACCTAAGTTCATTGAAGACAAATACTTAGTACTATACCTGGACTGCTGACTGACCTGGAATTCCTCCTCACGACGTCTTAATCAGCAACGGTCTCGAAACCTCCTTGCCCCTTCCCCTCACATTAGGTGTCAACATTAGCTGGTTTCTCTTGGCATGTGTCTTCTGGCTGCAGCACTGGCATTAGTATTAGTGCTGTTATCATGTGAAACAAACAGTTTGTGATCACATTGTAAAATGTACCAGTAAGGAAGGGTACAATATAATAATTAAAAAACAAAAAAGTACCAACAGTTCGGCATGACACAGACGTTATACGGGTTTAGCCTATGCTAAGTAGGTACGTAAAACATCTAAAAATTATTGAATAAACACTTCTTTTCATTTAATGTTACTTAATTTTTTGTTCCTAAATCATTTACAAAATTATTTTTAAATCCCTCTTAAAATGTACGTGTATTTATATTAATTGCCTTAGGTTTAAAAACTTACATGGTTGGGAGATTTTTTTATTTATTTATTTTGAAATGCTCGTAGCTGTATTATTTTTATTTTTATTTTCGATACCTCACCAAGTGTACTCTTCTGCTCAAAAGCGTAAATAATAATTCAATTTTGCAATAGTGGAAATAATACCCTGATATTAATGTTTTATACAGTTTCTTTAAAATTATCAATTATCATCCATGAAAATTGGTCTCCTAGATATTGAAAAAATTATGTTAGAGCTTGTATTAGGAATGTCAGGCAGAAGTCTTCCTAATTATAAGTCAAATAGTTAATTAATAATAGTATATATATATATATATATATATATATATATTTAATTAATAACTGATTTCCTCGAAAATCACTATCTACTAGGTTTTATAATGCTAGAATCACGACAATGAGGTCAATTCAAATTTTAGCAATTTTCTGACCTACTTTGTTTACCGAATATTTATTAAAATATTTAAAATATGCAACTAATGAGTATTTTGTATATCTTTTTAAATCATATCAAATTGCGACTAAAATTAGATTTTCAATAAAGCTTCATTGCTGTGAATTAAACGCTCCGATACCAGTTTTTGTCACCCTCTCTCTGCCGGTTTTCTACCAGCGGTGGAATTAGAGACTAGAGAGAAAAAAAGGAATGTAATCACTTTTGTAAATGTACAAGGAAGTAAGGGTACAAATAAAATAATTTATAAAAGTAAATAAAATGGACCAACAGTTCGGCATGACGCAGACGTTGTGCGGGTTTAGCTTATTCTAAGCCGTTGTGTAAAATTCATAAATATCAAATATTTATTGAATAAACACTTTTTTCATTTAACGTTACTTAATTTTCTGTTTCGAAATAATTTAAAAAATAATCTTTAAAACTACAGCTAAAATGTATTTATATTGTCTTAAGTTTAAAAACCTGCATGTAGGGGATATTTTTTTATTTATTTGAAATTGCTCGTAGCTGTTTTCTTTTTTTCTTTTTATGCTTTGATATTTCACCAAGTGTACTATCAGCTCAAAAGCCTCATGAATGAATGCTACTGAATCATGACTGATTTATATAAGCTCGAATCTGTGCATGCACATAAACGCTGAGCTAAATATCAATTATAATTTATTTGTAACGGAGGATTATTTTTTAAATTTTCTTTCTTTTCCCTTAATCTTTTATCTACTCTTTACTCTTTAATTCCACCACATTGACAAAAACTGGTAGCAGATCGTTTAATTCACATCATCAAAGTTTATTTCCAAATCTAATTTTTGTCGCAATTAAATGATCAGAAATCGTTATTTACAGATTTAAAAAAAAATATTATTTCTGGAGTATTGATTTCATTGTTGGTTAAGATAAAAACAAAAATATATTATAACGCAGAATATTCTTAATTTGGTATGATTTAAATTTGTTTTCGAAATGGGTGCCTATTCACAAGAAGTAGCAGATACGTGTCCGATATTTTGTAGTGTAGAATCACCAAAACAGTTTAGACTAAATCCGTGAAGCCAACCTGGTCGTCCCCTTGTAAATGTGTATTTTAGGGATAGTTAGGGGAATGTCTAATTTAAAAAAAAAAAAAATTCCTGCAATAGTACATGTAATTTTCACTTAATGTACTATTGTTTATAATTTATTAGCCTGGATATAGGGTGGAACTCTAATAAATAGAGTGAAAATTACGTTTTTGTATCTTCTTTTCTTTTTTCATTATTTAGTGTAATTATTCCAATTACTCATTGAAAAATGCACTACAACATTGAAATATTTTATTTGAGTCCAAACATTTTTGAAGTACTGCATGAGCTGGGAAGCCATCATGCTAAAGTTAGAAAAAAGTTTTATAAATATATTTTATTGTATTGTGTTATTGTTAAATTCAACAGATACTACTTCATGGTTTTTGTTATGTGTTTTTAATTAATATGTCTTACCAATTTAATTTGTTATAAAAAAAATCACTTTTTCAGCCGTGACTGTCCTATTTTCTACATGAGAAAAAAAGTCCAGATGGATTTGATAGCCCAAGATAAAATTATTGATAGGTTTGGGTGTCCTACCTGGTAAATTTGTGTTACTAATGTTGTTTTGTTTTATTTTATTGTTTTTTAAATGTATATATTTTTTAATATAACAATTATTATAAGGCACTTTTGATATATAAAATTGTAATAAATTAATAAAAATATAAATTAAAAAATTGATAATTGAAATTTTTTATTCATTTAAAAAACAAATCATCACATTGTTCACGCATAATCCCATCTAGCTGGCCTTTTTCCAAGCGCTGTTCTGTCAGCTCTTTGATTGGTGCTTGTTCCTAACTGAACAACTACCTCAAAAAGCCACCTTCTCGTTTAAGAATTTTACTTACTTTTTCTGATTGTTCGCTAACTTATAGCAAGGCACCGAAAACCTAATGATTCATTTTTGGAGAGGTGGCTGAGTTCAATAGTTACTTCTTTTAAAGTTAATTTTTTAAATTATTTTTACTTGAAACCTTTCGATAAATATTTCTATGTCCATTGGTTTATTTCTATGTTTTAATTGTTTGCGATTCTTTTAGCGTTAAGGGAGTTTCAACATACGGTCTATGAACCAAATGAATCCACCGGTTTTGTGGGTCCATAGGTGAGAAGACCTGCTGGTATCATAGTGTCTAGATTTGTGGGTTTTCTATACACTACTTCAATTAGGTTTATGGACAGTTTTAAGTCAAAAATGTTAAACAACCTTCTTAATTTATTTCCAATGTTAAATTTATATTAGGGTGTAAAGAATTATTTAATTGGAGGAATAGGGGGCTGAAATGACCTAGATGTCGGAAGCCCCAGCAAAAAAAAAAAAAAAAAAAAAAAAATTGGAGGAATTCTTTTAGATCCTCTAGTTTCCAGACCATATATATAAAATATCGTCTACATAGCGTTTCCAAAAAAGGGCAGATTTCATTAATTTGTTATTTGATTTGAACGTTTTTAAAGTTATACATGAATATTTCGGCACAAAATGGGGATAATGGAAACCTCATTGGTAACCCTTTCATTTCATAAAATTTATTATTAAATTTACAATAATAGGTATACATTTAAGTATATAATAGGTATACATTTAAGTAGTAGGCATACATTTAAGATAATTTTGTACAAATTCATTAATAGAGTTCTCCATAAGTTTTTGTGTTATTAATGAAGTACATTCTTTAAGATGGATATTTGTAAATAAATTACAAGAAAAAACTATCCTTAAGAAATAAATACCTATATTGGTTTGAGAAATGTGATATAAGAAAATGTAAATTTAAACATGGAGATAAATAGATTTTGATTTACCTCTTATTTAAAAAAATGCCTAAATAATATTTGACATACAAATTAATGAATAATTAAAAATGATTTTCTTACAGCATTTATTAGGATAATATTTAGTTGTGTTATAATGTCCGCTTTTGTACGTTTAAAATTGAGCGGCATTCACACCATCTTCTCTTGGAACGTCTTGTAGGCGGGGTGTCGGCGTGTTCATACTTACAATTTATGTCGAGACTTCGAGAGACGTGCTTGTAACGTGCTTCAATCTGATGATGAGCTTTAACCTTGAAATACGGATAGAGAAAACAACAACCTGTGTATGGAGGTCGACAAGATTAGAACCATCTTATCGACCTCCACTTTAGTTGTAATATTAGGAAACTAGGTTTATTAGTATAAATGTGTATTATGAATGTCTTTTAAAGAGATTAAACAATATCCCCATCCACCTTTATCATTTCTATTAATCTGGAATGTAATGTCGAAGTCGGAGCGATGGGAGTGAAGCAGCTGCCGGTATCAAGTGCGTGCCTGTTTGGTTTGTAGCAAGTTAGATGACCGGAGAACACTTTGCCATGCCTAAATCACACCCTTTTCATAGACAGTCAGTTGGTATGGGTGGAATCAACGTCCATGCCAATACCGAACTGATCATATATAATGGATCTTTGTCTGCACTGAGGTAAATTGAGAAAGTTCTGTAAGCTGTGGTCCCATTCGCTCCATTTATTGGGGAAAATTTCGTTTTAATGCATGATAATGTTCCACCGCATATAGCTCGTTGTTACCCATTACTTGGAGGATGTAGGGATTACTACAATGAAATTTGCCAGCGAGTTCTCCTGACATAAATCCCATAGAACACTTACGGGACATGATAGAGACTGGTTAGACATCGCCGCCTCCAACAAGCGTTGAACTCTTCAGATCGCTCTTGTTGAAGAATGGGATTTTATTTCATTGGACGAAATCTGGTCCTTAATTTACTCAATCTCTAGGAGACGCTCTCCGCGAGGTTAGAGGAGTTAATACAGGTTATTAGAGCGAACCCTGGTAATAAATTGTCAAATTTTAATCTCTCACTAAATGATTTTCCGATGTTTTGGTGAATTTTCTTTCAAACCATCATAATTAAATAATATTTATTAAAACTCATTAATTTCTGATCTCATTTAATCTGGTTTACATTAAAATGAATATGTCCCCCCATGAAGGTTTGCAACAGCAGAGGTCATATCAAATTATCAACCCCTCAACCCCTGGGATGCCGATGTTTTTGAAAAACAAAAACAAGAAAACATTTGTAGGTATGTTGGGATCGAGTGCAGGGCCACAGGATTCGAACCCAGGACCTTTACCTTACAGTGATGAGTGCCGGGTCAAAGCCTGAACTCCTGTGGCCACTGACGCCATATCAATAATGCTTGCAGTCAAGATATTTCTAGTATATTTTATTTGTGTTGATTATTAATTATTAAGAAATTAATATGGCCATTTTCAATTAAACCATACACATCTTGATTTATCAAATCTCTTGAATCGTAGGGTAGAACAATTACTTTAAAACTTCCTATGAAAGACAATAATGAAGAAAAGTCACTATTTTTCTAGAATAAAAAACAATACACAACAAACAAAAACATTTTATTAATACAAAAAGTTTCGTATTATACAGAAATTTGAATAAAAAAACTAAAACAAAACCAAATTCATTTTCACTCTCATTTGCATATAAGATCTGATTATATTTAACAGTTAATCTTAATTTTACATACTATAGAAACTAAATCTTACACAGTAATATTTACACAATTAAAAATTGTGTAATGCACCTTAGAAGCAATTCCTTTTGGTTCTTAATCTACTACACAATTCGTAAAAAAAAGACATTTCACTGTAGTTTGTTTTTCAATAACTTTTACGTTGAGCTAAAAAGAATTTAACAATTAGATTTTCATAAGTACACCAAACACTGATTGTAATATTGTAAACTTGCCAATAAATATTATTATATATAGTGGATTTTAGTCTAAAAAGATATAAATTGTTGCTATCGCACAACAACATACAATAGAAAATATACGATAAGTAAATATACAAGTTACAGATTAGAAGCTAATACTTTCAAAATGAGAAAATATTTTCAAAATCAAACTATTGATTTTCAACACTAAAAAAACAACTTATTTATGAACTATTGATTCGTTTTTTAATTTACATTTTCTTTGTAAACACTCGTTATTTTAATAATACAGTTCGAATTGTCCCATTAGCCATCAGGAAGAATAGTAATTTGTTAATATCACATGCACTTTATAGATTTTTTTGTAGTCTTAAGCGATTATCTCGATACAAAAGTGATATTTCTAACCTATTTTAAGCTTACAATATTGCATAATCAAGCACGACTGCGCTTTTGAAATATTTAACAAGAGGGTGTAATTTTGGAATAATTAATGTGTATTTATTTTTTTTCTGGCAGCATGTTAACACAAAAAACATAACATAATGTACATCTTTAAAGAGTTGTAGTTATTCTAAGAGGTACAATAATTAGATGTTAATTGTTGTAGCACTAATGTTCAGAAATCCTTAATAACCGACTAAGAAGCAATGCAGATGTTGAAAATGTTAATTAATTTATTATATACAATCCAAAGCTTTTGTTCATAAATAAATTAACATGTATATTTATCCATGTACTTAATGTTCAATGTATGTTAATATTTAATTTAATTGGATAATTTTATTATGGAGAAAAAGTTAAGTATTACTGGATTATTCAATATTGCAAGCTTAAAAATCTTAAGTGCCAGCTAGAGAGAACCTCACAGTCCATAAGTGCAATCCCACCTCTACGAGGAGGGAGGCGAATCTGAGAGAACGAGCCTCACGGGCTTTCTTCTTTTCTAAATTTCAAAAATAAGCAGGAGAACCTACCTGCACTAACCTCTGCGCGATTGACTGCCAACCCGTTTTCAACAACGTGCCGTCGGAGGGATGACAGATCTGCACAGAGGTCATACGTTGGATCAAGAGGCCGAGGCCTTGGGGGCCTGACCTCATTTGGCCTGCCTCGGCGGCGGTGGCGGCGGAGGGTATATCTTCTGCATCTGCAAGCTGTTCGAGGACACTGTGCGTTCGAGTATCTCACCCCAGTATTTTTCACTCAGCCCTTCCATGTCACGGGAAAGCGGCGCAGGAACCGATCCAGGCAGGGAACAACACTGGAGATTACTGTTTGGCAGCGTTTTCTTACCTCTGCATAATATCTGAAAATTAAATACACACTCGTATCATCATAAATCAACATTGTCAAGGGCCAATAATAATCGTTATTTGTTCAAACAACGACTAAATCTGGGTGGAAATTCCGTTTTTCTTGTTGAACCAATGATAACTTTAAAGTGCATAATCATTGTTGATAAAAAAAATAGCACAAAATCTGTTTTAAACCGATTTACCTTAGTCATGAATAATTCCCTGCTTATCCTCCTGAAATTATTGTTTAGAAGCCAATATAGGAAAGGGTTCCAGAAACTGTTGCTTAAGGCCAGCCAGGTGACTATGAAATCGAGGAACTCAGGCATCTGAAAATTATCAAGTTAACGACCTGGCCTTTGTACACTGTTGACTGGATATCATACCTTAGTACCAGTGCAAGCAACGACCACTTCTTGAATTGTCCATGGCGTGACCATAACAATAAAACCCAATGACATTGCCGCCATTGTCCTCGAAGCATTTGTGCTCAACCTCCTCTCATGGGCTACTACCTGAAATCACAACTGATTGATTATTTAATAGAATCATAAAAATTGGTTCAATTATTCATAACAAATGTAAATTTATTTATACATTATTTACTTCATGTAATTTGATCCATCGACAATTTTAAACCAATTTAGTTATCTTATAGCCTCCATTTCCACAATAATATCTCTATTATACAAACAATAAAGAAAAACCATAATTGTTCATTTGGTAAAAGCTGATAAATAAATACGTCTACCATAGATTTTTTTCAAATTGTCTTCAAACTTTTTATTTTCAGAAATTCTATTATCACCCATGGCATTTGAAAGTACACAGATTGTATATATATATTAAATAAATTGCCATCAAATATGTGATCAAATTATGATATGTGATTTGATGGAATAATTTAAAATTTATATAAATTAAATCTATAAAATAAAAGTGGCATTTTATCATAAAACACTTTGATTAAATTGCCATAAATATTTTTCCAAATATTAATAATGAGATAATTATTTATCCATTAACAATTTAGTAAATACACAGTCTCTCTCTCTCTCTCTCTCTCTCTCTCTCTCTCTTTCTGCCTCCTTCCCTCTTGTTCTTTACCACTTTGCATTTAAAGCAGAAACAGCAAAATGCCGTATAAGTACCTTACAGGGCTAATAACGTAAATTCAAACGGAATACCCGTCATAGCTGTCTTTGATGCTATTCACAAGATATATTTCTTGCAGTGCTCAAAGCCAGGCTTTCCCATTTCCAACGTCTTGTGAAAATTCGTTTTTTTTTCTCTTCTCGGAAATCATTTTCTTTTCGACTGCAGTTTTTGTTTATTGGGACTTTGACAATGCTGAAATATGAATGTTTTGGAAAAATACGCGTGCTTTGGAGTTAACGCTTAAACTGTACAAAAACACACCAATTAATTATTTTATTTGTCCGCAGATAACACGTAAAATAAGCAAGCATCAATGAAAATTATTAAGGGCAGAAAGTCATAAAAGTAAGACATGGCTCAAAAGGCAGACCACTAATGGTAAGTCTTTTACTTCTCAGTGGGAAGTAACATTTGCTGGGAAAACGTTTTAAGACAGTATTTTAATTTCTAATAGCATTTTTCTGAAAGGGATCCCGCATTTTAATACGTCTCCCTCTCTTCGTTTTATCTGTTTAACATCTTTTGCTAAATATTTTTGATTTTTTTTTTCAGGAGTAAGTTACTTTCCACTAATTAAAAGGTTTATGCGTTAATGGTGCATAATGTATTGCCCTTTTTACATCGTCCCTCATTTACGCAAAAGGACGCTTAACATGCTTTTCATAAAAGAAAGAAGGTGACTCGATCGGAACCCTATTAATTACGAGAAAATTTTATATGTCGCACTAAAAATAAGACCTTATCCCTTATCAACGCATCTATAAATAAATAAGTTTTACTTTTTGATTTAAATTTAATTATCCTTAAGTGTTTACAGATTTTTTCAGGTATAAACCTTTTGTTTACCAAGCGATTTAATTTAATTCATGTAGTTCGGCCGTCTCCGATCATTTCAGCCTGCCAGTTGTTTTTGGTCTGTCAGGTGAATTTCTCGCCATCTTCTGTGTCGGGACTGCGTGAATTATTTTTAGTTGGGCTCAAATCATAAATTCGTTAAAGGTGAAAATTTGGGTATCAGTAACTTTGACGAATTAACACATTTTTTGTAAATTATTTTAGTCGGTTTTTGTGATCCTCGGAGCATTTCTTTTTCAAGTTGTCTTGGGTGTGTTTGTGTGTGAGCGGTTATAGTTTTGAGTGTTCGTGAGTTTTTCAGATACATAGTATGTGCTTTTTTATTTTATTTTCTATTAATTCCAAGTTTTCGCCATTTTTGTACTTCAAGCACTAATTTCAAGTTTGTCTGTTGAGGGTTCCTGGTGGAAGTGAATTGCTCAGTTTAAATTGTGTGGTTCTATTAAGTCAAGCCTTTTTGTAAATTTATGTTTAGTTGGTCGTTCTTTACAAAATCAATTCGACTTGAAAAACAAATTTACTACTGAAGATGGCGAAAGGCCGAAACGCGTCTGACAGACCAATAAAGCGAAGATAAGCAAGATACAGGTAAAGACTACAGGCTTACAGGTCCATCACCCCGCAGATCAAGGAGGATGTTTCAAGACTTATATGCATTTTTTATTATCTTATTTATTTAAATAAATAGATATTTTTTAAAACATTTTTCGTCCTGTTTGTCTGATATTTTTTGTTCTCCATTCGCTTTTATTGTGAACATGCCATTTTTTACCTTGTATATGTCTGTGATTTGTATGAGGATTTTCGAATTGCTTTTGTTGCCGTCAGTACAATTTCTATGTACTGATATATTATAATTTATTTTTTTAAATTATTTTTTTTGCAATGTAGAAATGTCTTGTTTTAGTTACGTTTTGATTGGTGTGTGCGTGGGTCTGTCTCTTATTTAGTAGTTTGTTTGTAGTGCTCATATTGGTTTTTTATTGTTTTTGTTCGTTTTCTTTTTCTCCTTGACAATGTTTTAATTATGTCCGTCTCACGTATATCACAAGTACATCACAATCAAGTAGACAGCTATAGTTAATGTGTGGTGATTAGTGACCGTTAGTCGATGATTATTCGGAAATCGTGAAATGCGGTCTGGTGTGATGTAGGTTTCAGAAAAACATTTCTTTATTGTGCCAACGTTTCGATCTTTATTGAGATCATCTTCAGGGCCTGGGATTTACAAATTCTGTTTAAATTTAAGAAATACATGTAGGATGTGGGAAAAACGATTTTGTACAATGCAAAAAAATATTTTTTATATTCAATCAAAGTATTTCTACTCACACAAAGTGTTTGTTTTCTGAGCAATTGTGCCATTGTGTTGAGAATGCCAGGGAGATATTGCTGTTTTATGTTGAAGGGGTGGGGAAGAAGACCTCTACCCTGACCCTGAAGATGATCTCAATAAAGATCGAAACGTTGGCACGATAAAGAAAATGTTTTTTCTGAAACCTACATCACAACAGACCGCATCTCACGATTTCCGAATAACTATAGTTAATTTTCAAAAATAATTTGGACTTGGAATGATATTATCTAATACAACTATATTATTTATTTTTTGACTACTTTCATCTATAGACTCGCTTATCGACTGTTTTGAACAATATTTGACGATAAGTCGTAAGATTTTTTTGTTGTATCTCCATGGGTGTTTCAGTTTAATTATGTGGCAAATTAGCAGCCGTAAAAGTTCAAATAAAAGTGGGTCCAGGCAACTTAGTGTAACGCAACACCGACACGTAAGTTGGCCATGACCCTTGGGCAATAGTAAATTTTTGTTTTTAATTGGGGAATCTCAACAGCAAAGATCATATCAACACCGGAGAGCCGGCGGTTTGGAAAAAAAGGCAATTTATTGTTATTTGTTATAAGTGCGTTGGATTCGCAATTAAGGCCGCTGGATTCGAACCTGGATTGGAACTTTACAGTGCGTCAACTTGTTAAAGCCCTAATGGATCGACGCGGATGTCCGTCTTTGTTGACCTGATGAACTTAAGTGGTATAAGTATGTGCAGTGTGTAAAACGAAATAAGGGATTGTGCTTCGGCGGCTTTGTAATGGAAAAGAAGAAACGTCGAAGAAGATGGTGACAAAAAGTTGTATAACGGAACAATTTACAAGGGCAACTTTTAGATTTAACATTTAAAGCAGTTAGCTCACTACACTCAAATTTTACTATAATGTATCCCTCAGTGAATTTTGTAACTATTAGTTAAAAAATAGCTCTCAGCTATAGAAGACAAGCTTCGGTATTGTTAACACAGCTTTTGTCTTCGTAAGCTGGCAGTACCTTTTACAATTTCCAAACAACCGTACGCAGTGCCAGCAAGACATGATGTAAGGTAATAAGTAACATCTCTACGCAATTTTACTTCGGTGTGTCCCTGAAGAAATTGACAAGCGATAAAACTCCGTTACGTTACACTCCGTCGTGACAATCCTACGATTTTATAGTTACAGATCAGCTATATAATTTCTAAGCGTTATTTTAAAATTGGAAACTTTCTTTTAGTTTTACAACCGGGAGGCAAGACATATCGGCGAAATGAACTTGGACTACTCACCAAACGTGAGGTGATAATTAATCGGCCATCCAGTTAAGGGCCGTAATTAACCATTTGCCTCGTGAGTGAAGGTGAAACGGGCTGAAAGGGCTTCGAGCAGGGTTTTGCGGTTGGCAGCGGACCACCTCGGGCAAACCTTCCCCGCCCTGGATACCGTCTTTGACGTCTTTTGATCCAAACGCACGTTCTTGAGAGGAAAAAGGTTATAATTTCCGTGAGTCAACCTGGTTTTTTTAACGATAAAATGAACCATTTTTCTAAGTGAAATAATCGGATATTTTTTATTTATAGTAGAATTCTATTCTTAAAGATCAAGGATTAAGCAGAACCAATCGGTCATGTTAGGTCAATCAATTTTCTATCATGGAATGTATCATTGATTTTATTTTCTTTATCAATAACTGTCACATTCATCACATAGATAATAAATCATATTCTCTGACAGTGTTGTCAGTTTATATACTTTAACTGAAAATAATTTTTTTCTCCCTAAACATGTTTACGATTGTAATAATTAATTGAAATACATTTTATTGTATTGCCTAACTTTGATGGCCAGCGCTTGCTGCCTGAAATCATGGACACGGTTCTACACATGACACCCAAGTGCATAAATGAGCATGATGTATGAGCCTACATAAATCAATCAATCAATTAACATACATTTAGCTATCCAAAATATTATTATGTTATTAAAAAAGAATATTGCACGGGTACAAACACTAAATGACGAGATTAGAGATGGCAAAGTAAAAGTGGGAAAGTACCTTATGAAGTTATGATTATGTACCTGTTTTAAACAACGCAGTAAATTGGTGAAAGTACAATTCGCTAATTTGCGCTGGTTGTTCTATAAAAAGCATATTCTGCAATACAAAACATGAAGAGTGATTTTTTTTGCAAAACCTAATTTCCTCTCGTCAAAACATTCA